ATATATATGCGTGCGTGCGTGCGTGCTAGTGTATGTGTGTGTGTGCGCGCGCGCGCGCGCGTGTGTGTGTGTGTGTGTGTGTGTGTGTGTGTGTGTGTGCGCGCGCGCGCGTACGTGCGTGCGTGCGTGCGTTGGTGTGTGCGTGCGTGCGTACATGTGTGTGCATGTGGGTGCGTGGGTGCATGTATGTACGTGCGCGCGTGTATGTATGTGTCACGCTAGTGACTTCACGCAAATAGATGTTAAAAACAACTTCGAAACTTTTACCGGCTCAATCGTTTATACGTACAGCAGTGTTGGCGCTTTTATGGCCGGCCAATCACCCGCTAAGCATCGCAGTAGCATGAGACATGACAATTCGCAACGAACACATGCACAAACACAACACGCAGTCGACGCTGCGCAGAAAGAGGGGGGAAATCACGTTCATCTGAATAGCACTCAAAAAATTACCGGCCGACGGGAGCGATGAGATCACGTGACGAATGCAGATTGTGAACAAGAGCGCAGCGCTGACCTGTGCGGTAATGATCAAACCCAGTGTGTGTGTGCGTGCGTGCGTGCGTGCGTGTGTGTGTGCGTGTGTGTGTGTGTGTTTGTTTGTTTGTGTGTGTGTGTGCACACACACACACCCACACACACAAACACACACATACACACATGTGTGTGTGTGTGTGTTTGTGTGTGTGGGTGTGTGTGTGTGTGCGCGCGTGTGTGTGTGCGTGCGCGCGCGTGTGTGTGTGTGTGTGTGTGTGTGTGTGCATGCCTGCCTGCGTGTGTACGCGCGTCTGCGTGTGTGTGACCGAGTGTTCGAAGTCCGTACCAGGCCGTCCTGCGTCTGTCACCGCCCGGAGCGGTAAACACAGACCAGCGGCGGTAGATATATAGATAGATAGCACCTCGCCGGACAATGACTCTCCACCGGCGGAGGAGGAGGCTGGCCAAACACGACCCTGTCCCGCACGCAGCTGCGCGCCGCAGATGAATCGCGAAGCCATAACTTGCAACGGCAGCAGGAGATAACGAACGAGTTATATATGCTCGGATCGTCCCTACATTCGGAGAGCTTCTATTTCTGTTTGTAATTAGGCCACTCGTAATGTATGTTTGCATATATTATATGTGTGTGCTGTGTGAATATATATATATATGTGTGTGTGTGTGTGTGTGTGTGTGTGCGTGCGTGTGTGTGTGCGCGCGTGCGTGTGTGCGTGTGGGCGTGCGTAAGTGTACGCGCTCGTGTACGTGTCTGTGCGCGTGTGCGTGCGTATGTGTGCGTGCGTATGTGCGAGCGTCCGCGCGCGCGTGTTCGTGTGCGTGCGTGCGTATATGTCCGTCTCCGTGTGTATATACTTACTAGATCTATGATCTGTGTCAACGCCAGTCCGAACGTGACGTTGAGCGGGTCGTGCGAGTGAAACGCCGGCCGCACTGTCTTGTCGTAGTCTTGCATTAAATAATGAGATAGCTTATACTCCATGTTCTTCTCTCGCGACATACTGCCGCCGCCCAGCAACGCTGCAAGGGCAACATGTCAGACTGATGATGTAAGAAACGTGTGAGGCATTGCGTAAATCTCTCTCTCTCTCTCTCTCTCTCTCTCTCTCTCT